AAATCCGCAGACATACCGCTGTGCTACTGGGGGGCCGATCTTTATGATACTTTGAAGCTAAAGTATTAGTAACAAATAGCATTGTAGACCAATGTTTTGCTGTTGTTAAAGATTTAGCAGTATCTTGTCTCATTGGCTTGGATTTTATTAAGCAAAGCAAAGTTACCCTGAATCAAATATGCTACCTGTTAGGCGTGACTCCGAGGCTGAAAAGTACTAATCAAAGAACTACAGTGTTCACATTTAAAAAGTAAAGACTGCGAACAATTCAAACAACTTGTGTTGAAATATGCAGATCTTTGTAACAATAAGCCTGGCCTCATAGATTTTTCTCAACATAGTATTGTAACCACTAGCGAAAAGCCAGCGTTTAGTAAACCTTATCGTTATTCCCTTACTAAACAAGTGCTACATGATCAAATGGATGAAATACTCTGTGATTGGCTACTTGAACTCCCTTCACTTCTTTTAGGACTTCTCCAATATTTATTGTCAAGAAGAAGACTAATAATTTTAGATTTTGTGTGGACTACCGAAAATTAAATCAAGTCTCAGAATCTGATCGATACTCATTGCCTCATGTAAGTGATATTTTGAATGCTTTGTCAGCTGCAACCTGTATCAATACGTTATATTTCTCAAGTAGATATTGGCAAATATCTGGAAAAAGGGAGGATCAGAATAAAACTGACTTTATAACAGAGAGTGGACTTTATCAGTTTAAAGTGATGCATTTTGGTTTGAAAAGTGTACCTGCCACCTTCCAAAGATTTATGTATAAGATTTTAGCAGGAGCTTATATTGATGATATTATAGTTTCACCCAAATTTGTACAACACCTGAACAATCTTGAAGTGATTTTCTACAAGCTTGTATGGTTAATCTTTCTGTAAAATTTTCTAAAAATAAATTTTGCAAACCATAAGTATCGTATGTAGGATTTAAAATTACTTCTGAGGGAGTACACACAAATGAAAGCTGATAAAGACTTTTCAACTCCAAAGAACTGCAAAGAGTTAACATATTTTGGGGTATATGTGCCTGTTATAATCAGTTCACGCTTTCCTGCAATTGCCGAACCTTTATATCAATTAAGAGGGAAGCGAATCATGTAAAAATGGACACTCCAATGGGAAAATGCATTCCAGAAAATAGAGCAGACTTTATGTCCATTCCCTGTCCTACAACTTCCAAAAAAAGTGAGCACTATTTCTTACATACAGATACCTCAAATGTTGAATTGAGAGCAGTTCTATGTCAGAAGTATCTCATAGCATATGGTAGAAGAACTCTGCAGAAATAAACTATACTTCTACAGAGTTAGAATATCTAGCCATATCCTGCACTGTATTAACATTTAAAATATACTTAAATAGAGAAAAATTTACAGTTATCACTGATCATGCTGTCTTGAAATGGCTACAGACAGCTGAGAAGTTGACTGGTATACTGATACATTGGTCATTTCGGATGCAAGACTGAAAATATGAAATACTTCACAGAGAAGCAAAAAGACATCCTACTGATTCGGAAGAATGACCTACAGACTTGAACGTTGGTAAGCCATCACCTAAAATGTTTGCCATTGTCAATGTTAGCACTCGAGAACATTTGGCTACTAAAATACCTAAAGATGATGAATATAACCAATTTACTCTTACTTGAAAACTGGATAGTTGTCAGTTGATTTCACTATAGTTACAGAGACTGTAGATAAATCCAAACTCTATATCTTAAATAACAATGTTTTTTATTACATAAAAGGGTAAATTGCAACTTCTTGTTTGAGGGGAGGGCCACTAGAATGGTGAAAGGCTTTTGGATCAGAAATGGCTTTCGAGCACTGGGGAGAAAATAAACAAATCTTGACTAATTTGTACCCAACGGTGTTAGATAACATTTAATTAGCTAACGAACACTTTAGTAGGAAGTACCATGCTAATACAGGAGAGTCACTTGAGACCTTTATATGGAATACTGTAAAAATGTATAAATTATGGAACCCTGAAGCTGCAGAAAGATAAGTTGTGAAGTGTATACTATCAAAATTACACGTTTCTTTACGAGATTACTTGGAATGCCACTTTATTGTATCTGTTGGTCGTCTGATGAAATTTGCAAAATATTACGAGTATTGGTGAAGAAATAAACAAAAAACTGTTAATAGGGAAGTGATTAATGTAACTGAATGCTGTAGTAGACCTGTGCGATGCTATAAATGCAATCAAATAGAGCATTTATCTAAGTATTGTCCTAAGAAAGTAAACCATGAAAGCAGTGAACAGAGAGGTGAAGAACAGTGGTCGGAAAACGAGAGCAGGGGTCAAGAAGGAAGTATGGAATCCCTTGAAAGTAAAACCCTCTCTAAAGAATTTACTTACAACTAAAAGAGCACCGCCACATTTAAGGACTAAATAAAAGCCCTGCCATGAGCTTCAACGAGTTAGTTCACGAGATATACAAGTATTATTGCTGATTATTACTCAGTTATTGTTGTTGACCTTGTAGTTGTTTAAATACAGAATATTGTTATTTTGGAATCAGAATATATTTCTTCTGATTCCTTTATTTATTGAAATAATTATTAACATTTATAAACATGTTGTATTGCTCATTAACGTTAGTACCAAGTCCTCGATTTCTGTGGTTGTCGTAATAAGTTGTTGTTTTTTTGTTCGACCCTGGCGGTAGCAGCTGTTTTTTTTATTCTTAGACCATTACAGATTGAAGTGTCGTTATTGGATTAACAATGATATAGATTGTTATTTTAGGACTGATGGTAACAAGCATAGTCTTTGGCTGTGCCACTGCTACTCTGGGAGATAAAGTAAAGGCCTTGAAGCAAGTACTTGTGGGTGTTAATGAAGTTATCATGAAAATACTATTCTTTTTACTCTGGTAAGCGAAAAAAGTGGATCGATCTTGTTCACTTTTAGAGTTGGTTAATAATTGAAAATATAACGTTTTCTACAAATTCATAAACTAAACCAAATTAAATGCATTCATGACATTTCTGTGTGCTTAGATTACAGCCGATCTAAATGGACTTTACATAGAGAAAAGTTGTTGATACCATGTGTAAAATTGTTGATTAATTGCGAGTACCTATGTTCTTGACTCGGTAGAGGTTGATCATCTTTATAGTCTGTTTTGTTTTATCGTAATTTATTACAACGCAAATAAAGCAATATAAGCATCAGATCAAAATGGGTTGAACAAGTCAGAGAAATATTAAATGATTTTCACAGAAAACAACGGACATTTTCTAAGAAGTTACACAAATGACACTTTTACCACAAACATTTTTCAATATTCCTTTAGATTACCATTTTAGTAGCAAAATAAACATAGACAATTTTGGATGTTCCAATATTTTAGAATGACCTTGACCCTGACGTACAAAGAAATGTCCACATATTGGAATATACTGGTGGATAAATTAACTTATACTGACAACGCAGGTAACAGAGAACAAAATCAGTCTTTTCGATTTATTTGAAATTGCATTCACGTTTCGAATCTGACCTGAATATAAATAGATAAATAGATGGACAACTATTAATTTCTAGTTCTCCAATGTCCATATTTAGGTTTTGTTATTTATAGTGTCTATTATTATGAATCTCATTACATATAATAATGATTACCAACATTCACCGATTGAAGACGTGTTCTCATTACTTATAATATTGTTTACCAACTTTCACCGATTGGAAACGTGTTCTCATTACATATAATATTGTTTACCAACATTCACCGATTGAAAACGTGTTCTCATTACATATACTATTGTTTATCAACATTCACCGATTGAAAACGTGTTCTCATTACATATAATAATGATTACCAACATTCACCGACTGAAAACGTGTTCTCATTACTTATAATATTGTTTATCAACATTCCAAAAAATTAAGAAAAATAAATCTGAAAATATTTTTTCATCAAGCACGTTTTCAATTGGTCAATGTTGGTAAACAATATTGTATGTAATGAGAACACGTTTTCAATCGGTGAATGTTGGTAATCATTATTATATGTAATGAGAAGACGTTTTCAATTGGTGAATGTTGGTAATCATTATTATATGTAATGAGAACACGTTTTCAATCGGTGAATGTTGGTAATCATTATTATATGTAATGAGAACACGCTTTCAATCGGTGTTTCTCATTCTGGATATTGATTGCCTGATTTTTTCCCAGGTTATTGGTATTTGGAATGTTTTTCTGGATGTGTGAGGAAGGATTGAACACAAGCTCAGTTAATAATTTGTTCCAAGCAATCAGTCTTTATATGTGTGCGGTTTTCGGGGGCTATTTCATTCATCAAGTTATAATCTTACCAGGATTGTATTTATTGATTGTGAGAAAAAACCCTCTGCCTTTCCATCTGAGCTTAATGCCTGTGTTACTCACTGCCTTTGGAACATCATCAAGGTAAGAAATGTTTTTTGAATATCAGATTCTTATTTTTGCGTCTTGTATTTAGTAAAGAGGTATTTACAAAGAAAATAACAAAAAATAATAATTTTATCGTTCACAATCACGAGTGGTTTTTTTAAAGGATAACATAATATTATAATATTATTCATTCATAAAGCATTAAATTTTAAGAAAGTAATTCAATTAATTTTTCTCGTTGTCATTTGTTCGTTTCTGAAGAATATTACATGTGATTTTGTTCAAGACTACACATTCAACGATCTGTGAGTATCACTTCAACTATGAAAGTTATCAATCACGCATATACTTTACATAATGTTCGATGAATGAATAAAAACTGTACATTGTCCTGGTTCAAATTAATGTTAACTCTTTCAAGCTAAATCTATCAAGAATATGAGTCATTATTTTGCTCTTACTCTCAAGCCTGTTTTCATAGAATATACACATAATGTATTGAGAATTTCTCGCTGATTAAGGCTGTAAACTTATTTCCAAAGAACAATATAAACACGTAATGTATTGAGAAATTCTGGCTGATTGGGATTGTGATCTTATCTGCTATTAATAGTCGAATAGTCTCGTTATTCGGTTATTAAGAACTAGTACTAGGGCACCACGTTAGTTAAAAAAATTCAGTTTTGTCATGAAAATAAACATTATTTTTGTTTGTAGTACATATAGTAGGAATGGGCCAGATGTGCAATACAAATTAAGAGCGCAAACATATTGCAAACAGCATGTAAACAACATTTATAAACACTTTACACACATTGTCAAGTAGTAAACAAACTAACTGCAAAGTAACAAGCCACCAAAGCACTTGAGAAAGTCGATAGAATAAAAACAAACAAAAACAAAATGTCACAAAACCACAAATTTGTCAATCTGACTATCTAATTGACTGCCTGACTGACGTTGCCGGAAAAGTATAGCTCTCTTCTGCCTTCAGTTCATCTAAATGCACATGATTGAATTACGCTGCCTTGGCTAAAAGCATTTTTTTTTTACTTTTACTTATAACCTTTCTAATAACAAGTAATAACAATAAGCATTTTGTAACACTATTAAAGAGCTAACAATACACTAGTAATAACAATAAGCATTTTGTAACACTACTAAAGAGCTAACAATACACTAGTAGCCATATTCTATTACTACGAGCACGCTCTGTGAGTTACCAAGTAGCAACCGCTCCTCTTATCACGTGCGGGTGCACAATTGCTTATGCACACGCGCTACGTGATCAGCCTGCAGCTGTATCAGCTAATTTTAAAAAGTGGACTACGTATATTCTATAGATCTAGGTTTTAACTATGACCTAACATTTGAAAACAAAGTATTTAGTTCTGTACATATGACTCGAAGGTCTGTGTTGAACAAAGCAATTCTATCATATCAGTCGGTGCGTAAGACGCGAGGTTCCTATGTGAGGACGAACGCTACCACTGCCTATGTCTGACACGGCTTTGCTCGGGTACTCTGGACTAAAAACAAGAACGATAAGTTGTATAATTTACCTTTGCATTGTTTTCAAACTAAGTGTGATTTATTGACATCTAAGGTTGTACTTGAAACAGTGCGATTTTTAAAAAATACCTTTCAAGGAAACAAAACGAGAGAAAAATAGAAAGTCTTATGTTGATAACCTGAAAAAAGTCTTTGCCCCAGCGAAGAGAGCATTATTGCAAGAATAGAGATAAGGTTAGAAACAGTAATTCTGAATATGCGAAACAAGCCTTAACCATCAATCCAGCCAAAGAAGAGGCTGCCACTCTAGCTAGGTGGAAGACAAATTATAGCAAAGATATCAGAAAAAGCCAGGAAATGTTGAGACTTAGCACCAAGAAAAGCTACAAGAAGGATAGGTCTAAAGCCCAGTCACTCTCGAGACTTAGTACCAAAAAACAACAAAAAAAGCTATGAGAAAAGTGTAAAAACATTTTTAAATAAATAAATTAGGTAGTAGGAAGAAGAGCACAAAAAAGTCAGGAAACAAGGTAGGTATGGGAAGGATAACATTTCAACACATGGTGGTTTTTAACACAATGCAACCTCAAATTGGTGTTATATTTACAATCAAATTAGATATGAATTTAATAAGAATATTAAAGGTACAAATATTCCATTACCTTTAAGCTGCTTGATTTAACTCTTCTAATAGTGCTGCTGCTTTACCTGTGTCTATTCGCTGTATGGAAGAGAAGATCAAAATCCATCCTTATGTAACTCGGTTTGTTCTACCTCTTGGAATGATGGTTCACATGAACGGGTCTTCTATTGATTTGCCAATAAGAGTCTTGTTTGTAACTCAAATGTCAGGGTCACATCTTGGTATCGATAAACTAGCAATTATGTGGTAAGTACATCGATGACCATTAACTAATTATTTTTTCAATTCGTATCCAAAATTAGCGATTACGTGTTAAACATAAGTATGTGGCTCAAAAATGTTTATTGATATGCAAAACAATTAGTTTATATATGCACCGTGTTCTGAATAGCATAAATACAATTTATTTATGTATTTTATGGCTAGCTTTAGCAATTGGGAGCTTGTAAAAGTGTTACTACTTTCAAGGAGCAGTTTATATATAATTACGTATTTCACTTTGCAGTTAGCTTTTTTTTTCACAACGTAACCACAGAACTGGTATTTTTTGTGTTCTAAAATACATTAACAAGATATTTCAGAATATCCTCATTGGTGCTCAGTTTTTGATCATATAATAAAACAGGTCTTTATCACATGTTTAAAAATATCATACTGTCCCCCGATGGGACAGTGGTAAGCCTACGGATTTACAACGCTAAAACCTGGGGTTCGATTCTTCGCGGTGGACATAGCAGATAGCCCAAAGTGGCTTGCTCTAAAACAAACAAACATACATACATATCTCATGCTTCAGAAAAAAGAAAGATTTCTGATGTTACAAAAACTTAATATTGTTAGTACGAGGAAGTATTTAAAGAAATTTATTTTGATTTGGAAACCAAACACTGACACTATTCCGCATGACAGAGTATTAAAGATTTCAAATCCAGAAATAACAATTTAAGAAAAACGTGAAGAAAAAAAAATTGCGGTAATATGATATTATTACTTTTAGGCCTAACAGGTATCAATGCTTTTCCAGGTATATTACATATCTTTTATTGCACACAACTAGCATTTTAAGATACACTTTTGGATGCAGTAAATCCAGCCGGGCTGAAACGACCTTATATCAACTTAAAATCCCCTGGGTATTGATTTGTGGCAGTCAAACAGATAAGACTGAAATGCTATAATTATGAGGATTTTGGAAAAAAGAAACATCTTCAATCAAGTGTGACTTAATCACTTCTGTTAGGTCTAAAGCAATTTTTTTCCATGCATCTATTTTATGCCAAGTGTTAGGACTTGCGCAATACTTAAAAAGTTAAGAGCACTAATTTATTCGATTTATTTTTTTAGCTTCGCGTTTGTATTTAAGACAGTTTCTCTGTTATCATACTTAAGAGTAATTTGCAAAATAGACTGCAATATTATCACAATAAAATATTAATGGACGTGAGTTTGCTTTTCTATTAATTTACTCAATATCTAAGTTATTATTTTTTTAATCCTATAGACAGCATTATCATTCACACCAAGACAATAATGGTATTTTTGTTTTTAACATTGTAAGATTAAAGTATGTCTAAAATATCCATGTTGTGTTTGCAATAATACATACATATATACATATATATTACTTCTACATTAATAGTTTCTAATTTTATAATGTAGAATCTTGGTTTTCAGTTTTACTGTTTTGCTGATGACAATAGCAGCTCCTGGTATATCCGTAGGACCCTACCCAACATTTCTCGTAACAACCCTCTCTATCCTGGGTGTACCACCACCGCCCTCTATATCACTTTTGATAGCTGCTGAATGGATTGTGTAAGTGTTATGAAGTTCCTTATTTGTATGGTGATTATTCCATATTTGCGATAACACAAATAATCATAATTGCAATCTTCAAAAATAAATTTAAAAAGTCAAATTCGAAAAAAAAATCCTTTTGGTTGAGGTTAAACGCTACTGTTTGTGTTCGTGAACTCAAGGATTTAATTCGAATATTTTATTACCAACTTGTTTATATGAAGAGCTACACTTATCAGCAGTGCACAGAAATATACATATATCGTGAATATGTTTTTTGGAGGGATATATCAGTAATAAACATTTAAAGGTAAGTGAACTGACAAAAACTAAGCGGGTTAAATGTTCGTGAAGCTAAGAGGAACAATTACGCGGAAAGCTAAATTGGTTAACTGTGCGAACTGACTGCATGATAAACTATACAATAAATTCTGTGAGAAGCTACGAGGTCCAATGTCAGATTTGTGGTGAACGCCATCTATACACTATGTTTGGGGGGAACGCCATTTTTCATTCTCCTATCTGCACTGTCTTAAGTCTTGAACACTAGTTTTGAAAGGTATGAATTTTGCTATTTTATGTCCATGTTGTGTAATCCTGTACAGTTTACTCAATTTTTATTGTAACATTCTAACCCTACCTCTGACGAGAACTAACTGAAAGTTAAACTGTTTAACTGCAAGAGAAATTAATTGGATTGCTCGTTTAGAAAGTTATACGAATTAATTGAATGAGAACTTGTATGATTCAATTGCGTGAGTAAATTAAGCAGATTAGTTGCGTGAGAAGTAAAGTAGGTTAACTGGATGAGAAGATAAGTGGTTTAATTGAGTGAGAAGTTAAGTCGATTAATTGCATGGAAAGTTAAGCGGATTAAGTATGTGAGTAGTTATATGTGTTAATTGTGCGGGAATTAAGTGTGCCAATGATGTCAAAATTACACTGATACGTCAGACATTAAGCGGATTCATTAATTGACTCATCGAATTACTTGTTCAGTAGATTGCTTGCGTAAGAAATTATGCGGATAAGTTGTTAAGTGGATTGATTATGTAAGAAATTATGCTGATTAACTGTTAAGTGGATTGATTGTGTAAAAAATAAATAAATGGATTAATTGTTAAGTAGATTAATTTTGTAAGAAATTAAGTAGATTAATTTTATAAGAAATTAAGTAGATTAATTTTATAAGAAATTAAGTAGATTAATTTTGTAAGAAATTAAGTAGATTAATTGTTAAGTGGATTGATTTTGTAAAAAAAAAAGTTAATTATTAAGAAGATTGATTTTGTAAGAAATTAAGTAGATTAATTGTTAAGTGTATTGATTTTGTAAAAAAAAAGTTAATTATTAAGAAGATTGATTTTGTAAGAAATTAAGTAGATTAATTGTTAAGTAGATTGACTGTGTAAGAAATTATGCGGATTAATTGTTGTGTAGACTGATTTTGTGTGAAATTGTGCGAATTAATTGTTGAGAAGATTGATTGTGTGAGAAAATATGCGGATTGATTGTTAAGTAGACTGATTGGGTAAGAAATTATGCGGATTACTTTGTGGAAAGTTAGGGGTTAAATGGATTTTAATCATAACGAACTGATTATGCGAAAAGTTAATCTGGCTAATTGTTAGGAAATTTAAGTGGATAAATTATGTGAGAAGATAAACGTATTAATCGCTTAGGAAACTGGATGTTTTTATTGTGTGGAAATTTATGAAAATTAATTGTGTGGTTAAATGTTCTATTTTTACTTTCAATAACTTGTTATTTACACGTTGTTTTTCGTAGAGAACGAGCGCGATCAACAAGCAACGTTATCGGTGATTGTTACGTTGCAGCGTTTGTGGAGAAGTTGTGCTCAGCCAACTTACCGAAGATTGATGTCGACATTCAAGAAGTTTGATATTTCTTTCTTTCTGCATTTGTAACATGTAAATACTAAGTTTACGAGCTTTCTCGCCCATGCTAGGCTCATCTTCAGGTAAAGATCATATGTTAAGTAACGTTTTATGACTGATCACTTTGTATAATAATTCTCATAAAAAAGATTCGCAACTGAATTATAATTTCAGTATATTAGTAGAGACTTTCTTTTACATAAAAAGTGCTTTTAATCTAAGGCTTACTTAAGATCTAAAAATAATGTGAATAAAAGTAGTAAATATGTTTAAACTTGCTTTAAATGAAAATGGTGTAATTGCCCGTTCAAATTATTTTCACACCTGCCACACGAGCCAGCCCGGTATCTCGATGTGGATACAAAAAATGAATCATTCAGGAAAGATTTGGATTGTTTTGATCAGACGAAAAGAAGACGTTTGACACTATTTTCGAGGTCTAGGTCTCTGGACCAGACCCGAGACCATGAGAACCAACATGGAGAAGTTAATTGTAAATCTAAACTTAAGCGATGTAGCAATGAAAGATGTTTGAAATGTTCTACATGTGGTTGCGAACGTGATAACGATTAAGCTAAACCATTGGTCCAGGACGGATGAGGGAAAAACTTATTTGAAGGTATCCCAGTCGATTTGACATACCAGCCGAATCGGAGATTTGTCAATTGACTATTGCACAGACAGCTAAACATAGAGAAAACGGTTACAATAGTATCGTTATCTTCACAAAGGGGGATCGGAATCATATATAAGAAATCATTAGTTTCAATATTTAGTGAAATTAACGGCACAGTAAAGCCACAAGATGCAGTGTTGAAACTGAAGCAGATACACGATACATCAGAAGATGAAACTATCCATTTCTGCAATGAAGAGTAAACATAAAAAAGGATGGTATTATGCCCAGTACGGTACCACCATAGTATAATTAATATAGATTTCATCATGTCATATTTTCATTAATATTCAGCTTATTTTCATTTTAGAAGTTGTGCTGACCTTCATTCATCGAGATCTGTCGAAATAACTTTAAATCACCGATTTTGTCAATGACCCCTCCCCTCCCTTTCCTGTTGAGCATCATAAGCTCAGTACTAAAAGTGCTGGGTTGGTTCGTGTGGCAGGTGTTAAAATATAAACTTGGTAAACGAAGTTTTCCTATAAAATAGATGCTGCTTATAAACTGGTTTTCGAATGTAGGCTCTCCTCCATTATTTGCTAGACAAACAACTGAGTAAGCTGCAAATGAAATGTTGCCCATGTGGACCGCGAAATCAAACGTAGGAATGACTTTATGCGAATGTCAAAGATACTAATAATAATTGAATTACACTGACTACGCCAAAAGAAGTAAAAAATGTAGCTTACTAAAAATATTAAATAATGATTTGTGAATTAGGTTGCAGGACATAAAATGACGCAAATTGGTGAGTCTCCCCAAGCTGTGGCAGGAACCACAGTTTGGGCTGCTTATTGACAAAACGACATCAAATCTCAATCTGAAAAACTCAGACTGCAAATATAAATTAAAACTTTAATTAAAAGTATTCAGTCATAACAAGTGTAAACTTAACCGGATACCAACGAAACCTGAACGTGGAGATGGATTCAGGTGAAATCTGAAAGGACTTTGGTTTCATTTTTTACGGAAAAGGATGTCACACTCGAATAAAGATTGAACTCTGTCTTCTGAATGTTTTCATATAACTTTTTGTACCTGGAGAAGTGAATATTATTTCTCTCTTTTTTTTTTAAGATCAAACGTAGAAATATTTTTGTGTGTCTAAATAAAAAATAACATATTATACAGATTTAAAAATATCTTGTTTCTCATTTCTTACTGAGATTTATTAAACATTATCTAGGTGATAAATTAATGTTTGAGCCATTTCTGAGCACAGTTTTGGTGATATCTTTATTTTGAATTATATTAATATATTTTTGAGCATTTCATCACTATTCCTTCTCTACCAGTTCAAACCAAACAAAAT